TAAAAGATCCGATACAATACATAGAAGGTAAATGTTTAGGATCCCTAAAAATAAACTAGAACTCATTCTAAAAATTTAAGAAAAAATATTTTTGTGAGGAATGGTCAAATTAAGTGATTAAACTACAAAAAGTTATTCATTCAAGAAATAAAATAAAACCAACCTAGTATCTCATCAAATAATATTGACACTTCTATATTTTAGTTTTCTTTTCTATAATTTAAAAGTAGTTATCGAAGTTAAGTTTCATTTTGGTATAGATAAATTTGTTTTTAATTTTTTTGTACTTGGATCACTAAAAATCGCTTTGTCTCATATACAAATTGTTTACATTTTATAAAAATAAATTAAAATATATATTTAGCTAAACAATTTACATTAATAATTTAAAATATCAAACCATATAAATTTTGATTACAGAATAAAACAAGGTTTTAACTACAATTTTTTTTATTAAAAAGTCAGAGCTTTTAAGAAAATAAATAGTTGAGATAATAATGGGTTAGATCGAGTACGTTGATGATCAAAACAGATAATATAATTAAATAATAGTTATATCTTCTACACTTCAACAAATGTCCAACTACATTTCAATAGTTTTATATTTTTTTTTATAAATCTACTAAAAAAGCATGTAACGCTGAAAATAGGTATTTAATGTATACTTGAATAATTTCTAATGAAATCAATCACGGACGCCTACAAAAAAATATTCCAAGGGATGCAAGAATTATCGACACCAGTGTAACCCTTGAGGCTTTTATCTAAACCCCTTTCTAATTATCGAATAATATTAATTGATATACCTGTTACACCACACCATCCTAACAAAAACATTAAAAATGTTATTATTAATATTATTAATCATTTGAAATAAGTTATTAAATAAAATATACTATATACATTTTAATTTTTCTATCCGTAGACTATACTAAGTCATGTTGTTCAATATTCTGTGAGTAAATATTATTGCGGAAATTTTTTTTTTTAAGACAAAAACTTAAAATTTACTAATAAAATAGGCCACTAAGATTATATGATTCGTGTTAGTTATTTCATTAACTGTGGCTAAAATAAACTCAGGGGGTTTATTGACACCTTCTAACAACCTTCGGACATTTTTGAAACTAATACGATTTAACTCACGTCATTGAATAGCATGTATTTCTACTATAAAAAAAAATTTCTTTGACTTATTTATACATTATTGAACAATTTTAATATTATAAAATATCGTCGGATTTGTGAGAAAACATATTAATTGTTATTTTCGTATTATTATTCTTATTTTTAATTTTGTAATTACCGCCATTTAATGTATAATTCTATAATATTTTTAACTATCAGAAATTGTAAATGTATTTTTAACTCGTAAGCCAATTTTTTAAACCATTAAGTAATAAGTATTTTAATGCATAGAGTGTTTATGTAATGCGAGCTTAGAGTTCACACACCAGTATGAGCTGTATCCGTCTGAGCATCATACCCACTTAATGTATTAAAATATTTATATATTAATAAGTACTTACCCTAATATTATTAACAATACATCAAAAGTTTTTGTTAGAAAAGGCAACAAAATGACTATTTTGCAATTTCAAAAATAATTTTCTTTTTATCAGATACAATTAACAAAAATATGCATTTAGTAAAGTACATAACAGTAAAAATATGTAAAAATAAAATAACATTTTCAGTATATGAAAATTTATAAAATTTGACAAAATAAGCTGAGACACTCCTTCGAATAAAAATTTCAATTTTTTCTATTAATACCTATTTAAAAATAAATAAAAAATAAACAGACAAAACTAAGACCCATGATGAGCTCTAAATTATACGATAATTATGTTTTTAATAACCATCTACTGAAAAATCAACGATTATATGTTAGACCCTTTTTATTCTCAGGCACCGATATTCAGTAGAGTAGCAAGGATTTTTGCTTGAGACAGATTAGAGGCTTATATTCATGCTCTTACTAAAGCCAAAATCTTTTACTGTTTATTGTAATAGTTAGACTATGGGATGGATTATAAGGGTTACCACTATAGAACCAATGACTATACCAATGTATACATACAGAGTGATCCACGATGTTTTAACAAACCTAATAACATTTGATCCAAAAAATATTTTAGTTACTTTTTTTTTAAATAATTTTTACAGTTGTAAACTTTGTTAACAGCATATTCTTTTATCTGTCTCTAATAAAATTAAAAAATCATTTTTTTTTTTTTAATTTATACATTTTTAGACTATGTTAAACTAAATTATTATTATGTTCAACCTTGTATATATGACTCGACATATTACGTAATATAAAAATATCAATGTTAGGGAGGGGTCCAGACCCCCTAAATCTCCTCACATAATTCCACTATTGAGCAAACTTTGTTTCGAGTTTCAAAATGTGGTACTGTTTCTCTTCATTAAGAATTATGGAAAATGCAGCTGATCAAATCCTTTCTAGTTCACTCGAGAGCGAACAGTTGTTAATACTACACTAAATACCATTTATGGATTTATTTTGAACAATAAAACGAATGTTCGTTTTAGTATAAATAAAACGTGATGCATGTATAAGTGCAACAAATAAAAATAAATATTTGACAAAATTACATCACACAATAACTTCAGTCTTGTTCATTTATCGGTTGCCAAATAGGACTATCGGAAAAAAAAATTTGTTTTGAAGAAAACTAATAATTTTATACCAAATGATAACATTAGTTTTCGGTCATTTGTGTATACCTGATGAAAATTCATGTATAATGTTATATCACCTGTAAAAGAACTTTGAAAACAAATGTTTTCGTCAAAATTAATCTCTAGTCAATATAACTTCAATATGATGTGTAAGAAAAAATACGTACACAAAATGTCGTTAACAAAAACGTTTTAATCAATATTTATATGTATATTGAGTTAACTTTGGCGATAAATATCATTCGACTGGTACAAATAAACCACTGTTTAATTTTCTTTGGAAATCATTTATAGATTTTATATTAATTTTAGTAAAAAGAATTTAACACAGTCATTTTTACTTATAATTGGAGCATAGCATTCAATATCATTTTTAGATTTTAGACTTGATAAATTTCTGGTATGGGCAATAAATAATAATTACTAGTTCAAAAATATTTACATTTATTAATTACATAAAACAAATATTCAGTACATATACTTTTATAAAAAAAGGTGTTAAGATAACACTTTAGTAGATCTTTAGTACTTAAAATAACATAAATTTAGCTGACCTATTTTTTAAACGATTTACATTAATGTTTTGAATATTTCTATAAAGTAAACAACTTGTATAAAAGAATTAATACCTACTCCATAGTCGTTCATTTCCACTATTTATGAGAGTAAATATTTTTATTGATACACTTTTCGATTAAATTATAACTAAATAACAAGAATTATTAACTAATTATAATCATAAAGGACATATTCTACTAAAAGTTATCACAATAATAGTAAAATAAAATATCTCAATGCATGAAATCATTACAATACATTTTTTCATAAGTTTTCGTCCATTTTTTAGGTCAGTTAATGTTAAATAAACAATAGAATAATAATTTTATTGAAATATAATCGTTCAATTTATACATTATACAATAACGGCTAATAATAGAGCTATAACAATAAAGATATATTAAAAAAACTACCGTTTAATAATATTTACTTATCAATACAAATTTAAGTGTAATTAAGTATATTTAACATGGTATTGATATAATCGTGAATAACTTAACTGCTAACTTTTTAAAATACCTTATCGTGGATGGTAACATCATTCATAATCTATTATCTAAGTAATATAGGAGTTTAAGGAAAAGTCATTATAATTGTAATATGATATAGTAAAAATTGAACATATTTGTACGTATTAGTTACTCATTAAAAGAGTGTGTCTTAATGTTATATGTATTTTTTACAAGTCGCCATTGAAGAATTTGTACTTTTGCAAATATACCTTATGTTTGTAACATTTTTATTACAATCAGGTCTTTCACAGACTAGCACTTATTAAACTTCTTAAATTTATTTAAAATGTTTACAATTTACTTGGATTATCATAAAACATTTTAAATTGGTGTGATATTGATCATTACTTTTTAAAAATGTGATCTTAGACCTATAACTAAAATACCTCTATCAATTTAGTTTATTGTTGAATACCGATTTAATGATAATGTCTTTGAGCAAAAACAACTACACCTCGATTATCATGATTCTAGCACGTGTTAAGTGATCACTGTAATAACAAGTAGCAATGTTTTTTCGCACGTGCGGAAACTTGTTTTAAACGAAAATGTAAAATTGAGTATAAACGCTCGACAAAAATATAATTATTCGAATAAATTTATTAAAAATAATTAAAAATACATTTATAAGTTAAGATAAGAACATCATAATATAACATTTTGTAACTACGCAAACAATATTGATTACGCTGATTTTTATAAAAATACGTTTTTCAAATGTTATAAAAATTTTTTTACCCGTTAAGTATAATATATATTTAAAACTATATATTTAAATACGTCGTTGTAAATATTTGGAACTAAATCGAAAGAAAGCGTAGACCTTAAAATAAAGCCAAAACTTCTACTAGAAATGATAAGCTATATTATAACGGTAATTTAGAGTGATATATTGTATTAGTGTATTACACTATATCAAGATAAAAAAAAAAAAGCGAAGGGATCGAACAATTTATCTAAATCAATTGATTATTCTAATATTGTAATTGATATTCATGTTAACAACTCGAGTACCCGACCACTGGTTACACAACGAATACGTTATTAATCGGTACTTAATTATCCACTGTGTACTTTAAATCTATAATCGTTATTAATTTACACGTCCTATGTACATTTTATTTGTAATATAAAAGACGAAAATAATTGTATTTTTCTAAAATATTATTAATAGATCAACCGAGTAATACACACAGAGGAATGTATTTTTTTATTAACGAGTTTATTCGTCGAGCCGTTGACGATGATGATGATATTTATAACAATAATGTTAATAATGGAGTAGGTACATGAGGGTGATACGGAGAGAAATAGCAGACAGACAGCCGACAACGAGTCGGTCATGTGTGGCAGCAGTCAGTTCATTTATGGCTCAGGACCGGTACACATCTTTAAACGACCGCGTTGTCCAAGACCTCGGCGATACTGGACTCGACTAGAATTTTTCACCCCAGGAATATCAAGTAAGTTTCTAAACTAGTTAATGTAAAATATCACCTAAAGTTTCTATTTTACTATTAATTATTTATAATTTTAATTATTGTGTTAAAAATACATTAAATATTTTTTAATTATATTTAATAGTTTTTTCGTTCTGACCTATCATTTGGGTTACCATCAATTATAAGCTTGCAATTTATAAGTTGTCAAAGTGTAATCAATTCAAGGTAAATTAAAATGTATTTATCAGTAATAAACATTTTGGTGGAGATTTAAACACTATGATTTTGCCGGAGGGCAGGGGTATATTCGTACTGTAGTCTAATTAACTGTCCATATTTCATTATATGTATTTTGACCTTTTGCGAGATTTTTCCCTTAAAGTTAATTAATACTTAAGGAGTGTGTTAAAATGCATTCACATAATTCTGAATTCTGTCATAAGGAATTTCATTACATCACTTTGTACAATAACAATTTTATCATTTCATATTTACAATTCTCTTTATGTATAATTTCTTAAATTCTTCGGTTAAACTTTAGTCAGTTTTATTTAATTTAAGTTCATCCATTCAAAATAAATGAAACCTGATTAAATAAAACTGCTCTGATTACTATAACAGATAATTCTAATTTATCAATGATTAGGGCTTATCAATTTTAAACAAAATGTCTTGATCTGAAATTGATGTGTATGCTGAATGTACGATTATTTTAAAGATATACTAATTTTATTTATAAAACCTATTTAATCCGCTAAAAATACTTATTGGTTTTGAATTTATATGTAAAAAATGTTAAAATGTGATCATTATAATTGATCATTTATTTTAGTATATCAAAAATAATACTTTTTGTATGTGTATGAATTACTATAAAGTTCAAAAAAAATTATTATTTTACATCATCATTATGTCATCAAATTTCTTAAAACGCATGTTTGGCTTTTTTCTTACACTGACAGTAAAAACACAATTGAAGAAAGCTTTTGATTATTTGTTTTAATATCTAACTATTGTGTGTTAGACATCGTGCAGCATATTATGGTAAACAACTAGCTAAAGTACACCGACAAAGCTGTCAGTTGGATTTGATTGCTGTTAGTCGATTTGTAGCTACTGATAACCTGAAACACGTGTTCGGCATCCCGTAAAGCTATTAGATTCCTATTTATCTCGCGAAAACTCTTGCTTTGAGATGCTTCTGAACAATACAAATAAATCACTTATCTGTGATTTAAAGATAGAACTTCTCTACTTCTTAGATAGAAGCACTTCTTTTAATCCACCATTTAAAAATCCAATGGTTAATTTAAATCTTTATCTTCGAATACCTCTGCTAATCAAGATCCTGTAACAAAACGTGGCTGAATAAAGCATAATTAAATACAATAACGTTATTATTGTATTGAAGTTTTTAGCAATTATCTCTAAATTTTAACCAGGGTAAAACCTAATAGCAAATTAAATAATATTAATATGTTGTTGCATAACCTTTGATAATAAAAAAATACTGGCCAACATTTTAATTATAATTAAGTAAAATCTATTGAATACCACAACTAAAGAATCATTATTTTATCTTAAATGTTATTCATGGAAAATATTGTTATTTGTAAGTTTAAACAACGTGTTTTACAAGTTATAAGTGGATTTTAGAGACTTCTGATTCTAAATGTACCTGCCGGAATAATTTTTACAAGTATGAAAGTTATCTAAAAATTTGTGAAATCTAAATTTATTGTAAATTTGGCATAAGATATTAAAGCGTAAATTGCGTAGGTACTGTTCACAATATCCGGAAAAAAGTATTTTTAAATTTTATATTAACACGTTTGTAGTACAGTTATATTTTCTATATTTTTTGATAAAATTTCATAAAGTTCAAAGACACCGAGTTTTTTTTAATTACTAATTTCACATTTATGAGCATACATGTGCTTTAAAATTCATGATCAATTAAATTTAAATACATGCAATATTCATTATTAATTATCTATATTTTCAAAATAATTTATTACTTAATAAAGGACTACGAACTAATTTGCCTTATTAAATTTTTTTGGTTTATTACTTACTTTATCATTAATCTGTTATTATTAATATCTTAAATTAGTAATATAATTATTTTTTATATGAAAGAATCGATCTTACCGGTTCAGATTTGTATTGTACAAGTATAATTTGTACGATTTCATTCAAAATGTTTATTATTTTTTTATTAAAATAACCGTAGCATCACAGGCCGCCATTGGTTACATATTTATTTAATTGATTTGCAATATGATTTTAAATGATATGTATTGGTTTACTGATTATAAAGTTTTTAGTCTGAACGTAGTACTTAGTCTGTTTTATTATTATACATAGTTTTTAAATACCGCACTCTGAACTTGAAAAATTTTCCTACACTTACTATAAATATATTTAAATGCCCTTAAAAGAATCTCCGAATTGACCTGCTTATCTTTGTGAATTCACTGTAAATTTTCAGATTTCTGTGGCATTCTATTATATATAACGTTGTCATCTACCGACAATATTTTTGATACAACGGTATTTATTCGCTGTATTTTTTACATACTGTAAAATTCCTTCATCCCCACTGTAAATAACACCTCTCATAGACAATCATTTGGTTAATAGAAGAAACATTAGAATATAACTCACTATGGCGTAATCTCCCTAGACTGACGGGTCAGGGTCTAAGTTCGCTCAGTTGGTGCATAAAACTCGCGAATAGTTAGTTTGTGCTAATCGCGTTAAATTATGTGAAAAAATACAAAATAGTGTAACCTGTGGATTATTTAATTGGTATTAACTAGTACAAATATTAGTATTAAGAACAATATTAGAATCAAGTTTAGTAAAAAGGTAAGATTTATTTCTATTGCATACGAAAAATATTCAAATTAAGATTGGTATATATATATTATATATTTATCTAGACATTATAAAGTAAAAAAATCAAAATTTTTTAAAAAGAAAATGATGACGTAGTGCAATTAAAACTAATTGATAAAAGATTAAAAAAAATGCATTCTAAAACTCAAGTAATTCTTTCGTTATTAACTTACAGACACTATACAGCATGCTCTGGCAAATTTTAAACTTTTGATCCACTCATAATATATAATTACTTTCTTTTTAAAAACTTGTTAGAATACATATATAAAACTATAATGTCATAATAAATAATATACTTTATAAATTTCTAGAAGTATTTAAAAAAAAATCAAAATAGACATTGTTTTTATAGAGTCGATAATTATAAATAAAATAGTAGAAAATTATTTTTTTAATATTTTATATTTAAACTTTTAGAGCATTTGTAAAATTTTGAATTTTTTCTCATTTATATAATGATATCAAACATTGGTTTAATTGGTTTAGGATATTATTATTATAATTAGTTATTAAATATTATTATACTCAACAATTTAAAAACAAATGTATTACAAAATATATTTAGTGCATCGAAAGTTATAGAACAGACTGAGACACTATTATAAAACCTTTAGTAAATTACTAAGGCCGAGATGATTAATGGTCGCAATAGATTTAAATGAGTCTGAGGAACATATTAAATTAATAAAAACCATAGAAATTCGGTTGTCAAATAAATCTGGTAGCTACAGAAAAAAATTTCAAGGATAGATACAATCAACGTTAATAACAACTTTATATTTTTGTTGTGGATAAAAAAAACTTATACAGATGAACTAAAATTATAAGAAATTGTAAATTTAATATACATTATATTATACATAGACACGGAAAAAAATATTTGAATCTTTTTTTTTTTTAAACGTACATCAATTACACCGTACCGTCGAATTATGTTAAACATTTATATCTTTAAAAATAAGAATTATAAAAGTTACAGTAAAAACTCCAAGACTAACTTAAGTTAAAGTTCAAGTTAAAAAAAAAAAATTATTCGACGATAAACTACATAAGCTAGCATGATATATTTCTAGCACTGACAGTTAAATATTTATAAAAAAAATTTTAATTTGTATCACAATCCAAAAATCTTTGGTTTTATTCTTAAGTCACATTTGTATTAAAAATATTTATGTGAAAATTCTATTTTATAATTTCATTTTTCCAATAATTTAAAATTACAAGCTGAAAAGTGTGTCTCTCTCTCATCTTTTTCCTAAAATATCTATTGTTTAAAATGAAAACAAAATATCCAGTCGGTAGACGATGACAGTTTATTTATACTTAAACGTATAATGAGATTCTTTTAAACAAAATAATATTAACGTTCATTTTTATACATTTTCAGTATCTAAAACTCAATCTAAAAAAATATTTATTATTTCTTTTTGAATCGAATATATAACCCAACTTCTTAACAAGATTACTTTTTTTTTTAATTGACGTTAAACAAAATTTCTGTTTTTAAAACATAAAGTTATGTAAATCAATGATGTATCCGGATTTTTTTCTGATAAGGGTTGAAAAAATATAGCAGTTAAATTGATTTAATTTTGAGTGATTTTTATTGTACATACCTATAAACTGTATATATTACTTATTTACAGTATTTGTATTACATTTGTTAAATAATAATTGCATATTCATTTTTGTATGTTATATTTTGTTCGAAATTAATATTTATAGCATTATAATCACATTTCGGGGGGGGGGGGAAGCACAAGTCACCTAATCTCCCTGAATATGTCACTGTGTAAAACAAATATTTTATATATGCACATTCACACATTATTAATTAATAGAATATCGAGAGTTTTTGATCGTCTTAACCATTTGTATGAGCCATAACTGACTGATTTTTGTACTCATCTTCTGCTCGGTGTTTCAGAATATTTAACACAATTTGGACCATTAATTACTCTTAAATAGTTTTAGAGCAGGTATTTGTAAGGCGATTGCAATCAGTTCAATGTCCTTTAATAAAAAAATGTATTTTTTATTTCACATTTTTATACATTCCATTAATTGATACTCGTTTATCTAATCTTATATTTCTGTTCATCAAACATTAGATAAAT